CTACTAGAATCTAGTTAGCGTCCAGGCTTCAATTCTGAGGTTGTTGGGCACATTCCTGTGTTAGAAACTCTCCTGAGACTGGGAAGCAGCATCTGACTGCCTGCCTGACCTGCTTCCTCACATGGCCTGGGTACTTCAAACCAAATTTTCCCCAGAGCAGGTTTCTGAGATACAGTCAAACTCCTCAGCAAGCAACAGGCACATAGCAACACGTAACAGCACTGCTGAGCATCTGTAAACATGCCATTAATTTTACATGGAAGGAAGGAGCTCAGGAGACCACTGACCAGAGGAAAATGAAGAGCTTCCCAAATGCAGAGCTCTCCTTTCACTTGCCTTTGCACTGACTGCCCTTCAAGAGGGGAATGCTTCTTTATAGTTACAAAAGCAGGATTCTCCATGAAGCATTAAACTCCTGTGGCAGGGAGATGTTCCTCTAAGTTAATAAAAATTGTTGAAGAAAGCAAATCACTCAGCTCCTCTCCCTTTATAGATTTCTGTTCCCAATCATGCTCCTTCAGGGACTGTGGAGACCTGCCAGCTAATTTTGTGGACAGGATGGCATCTAGGCTTGCCTCTGATCTGCAGATGATGTTATTATTTCTTTATAATTGTTTACTGTATAAGGTCAACATGGTTCTCTCCAGAGGGAGACTGCTTAAGAGTCACTCAAGAGAGCCTTTTAGCTCACAGCTGTGGGCCTGCTGTGGTCTTGACAACACATTCATGTCAAGGTTAATGTCATGTCAAGGCACTATTAGTACCTCCTTTCCTTGCGTGGTTATTATTTCAACTGTAAGAATATTAATGCAATTTAAAGTTACTTCTAGAGCATACTTGGCTGGCCTTTAGGGTTATTGCAATTACACGGACAGAAGGCTTCCGAGAGTACTGTGGGAGTAATTGCAATTGTGGGGGAAAAACTACATTTCGATTTGTGCTCTGAAAGCAATCTCCTCCACATTCAGTCCTAGCTGAGAGATGGACTCTGCCCGTGACCTCTGCTGTGCCGCCTGAGCTTCATATTGGAACTTTCCCTTTGCATTCCCCCCTGTAAAAGCAAGATAATGCTTTTTATCAACTTTGTGGGGATTTTATAATTCGATGCTCATGAAGAGAACATACCTGCGAGCCTTTCTGTGCTACTGCTAAATGCAAAACTTTCCTAAATCTTGGAGAAGAGTCCCAACACAGAACCCAGAACATCACACAGAGAGAAGACATAGCTCTTTTTTTTCAGTACAAAGTGAATAATTTAAGAATATTCTTGCTCAGTGTCTTGAAACCAGTCATTATATATCCCTGGGCAGAACTGGAGGCAACAAGGTTCGCACGTCAGCAGTTGTTTTGTTAACGGGTTCAGTAGTACCAAGGGCTGCAAAGCACCTGACTGTGCTGGTGCCCTGGGCAAGATGCTCCTCTGTGTTATCCAATAGCAGAGTCAGGCTTATGTAACTGATTAAATAAATATAAAATCCCCATTCTTTGTCTCACATTTATGATCCTACAAGTGTACGTGTTGCGCATTATCTGTGCTGCTTCAAGGCCTGACTTGGACGTGGTCAGATTTATTCTTACGCGGTCTCCCTCCCCCAGGGCCACTGCTGACCACAGAGCTCCCTATATTCAAAAGAACCAAAATGCTATATTCTTCTTGAAAAACATTTGGATGCTCTAATTGTCTCCCCCGGTTTCTATGACAACCACAGCAACACAAACAGCCTTGCTGTCAGCCGCAGGAGACTGAAATCTCTGCTCTCTTACATCCCCTCCCCAGAACTTCTCAATGCAGAACACACCGTCATGGAATAAATACAGTTAACAATAAAAGTGGAGATGGTGCCTAGTACACCAGGCTGCACTGGGGAAACTTCTTGCAAATAAAAATACATTACAATATTTTACGATAACAGCCAAAACATTGCCTGCTACGTCAGTGTTATCAAAGTACCTTGGGATCAACTGTGAAGAACACTGCAAAGCTATAAATACATAAAAAGGAGTGTTTTGTATGTCAGCTTGCGTGGCTGCAGAGAGCTTTAAAAAAACACGACAAGGTCTCCTCTGTTGGTGCCTCTAAGCACCCCTCACCTTGCTAGGAGATTACACAACAGGAACAGATAAGCCCCTGAGCGAATGTCAGGATGGCTGGGGTTAAGACGGCTGCAGAGCTCTGTGGCTGTGTGCACATCGTGTGATGTGACTGTAGGCACCTCTCCATGGCTGCAGCTTCCAGCTCTCCAGCAGGAAACTCATAAACAAGATGTGACCGCAGCAGCAGTGAAACGCTCTGCATGGCACCTCAGTTCGAGCTCAGCAGAAGCCATTTCTCTGAACTTCCTGCATCAGGCTTGGCCAGAGCTGCTGCTTTTGCTAAGACTCGGGCAAACCGAAGTTCAATGAATCCTAAAGAAAAAGCTCAGGTCTTCCTTCTTTCCTGAGCAAAATGAATGGCAAAATAAATTGGCCATATGAGGCCAAGGTAACTGGAGGTTTTAAGCCATTTAAACCCATTGAACCAATACTGGATGGCATGACGCCATCAGAATACGCAGGAGTTACAAAGAGGCTGCATCTGATAATTACAGTTATCAGTTGTCCGTGGATCACAGAATCACCTTTCAAATTATTAAACCAGTTTCTGAGCATAAAAATGCCATGTATTTTTAAAATAATTGCCACTGTATATCTAGCTTTTGACAAAGTAACTTTGTGCAATTTCAAGCATCAGCAAGGACGTAATTTCTCTACCTGTGCTGTTTGTCTGAGGCACTTGTTCTCCCCATGCTGCCAGGAAGACACAAGATGATCCCCACAGCTCTGAGACACAACTGGGGATGTAACTGCACCGCCTGCACTGCAGCAACTCTCTCACTTGGAGAGAAAATCCTATGACTTTGGGTGAGCAATTTTGCTGTAAAGCAGACTCAGGATTTGAGGAAGGAGAGTTGGGAGGATATGTGAATGTGTACTCTTGGAAGCCAAAATCTATGGGGATTCCTTCTGGACCAGTATGCAGAAATACACATCTGTGAGGAGGAGGAAGAGGTGCCCGTTCCACAGGGCCTGGAAGGCACAGAAGCTGCCACCTGACATTTCACAACTTGAAGGACTGGATTTTAGAAAAGTGCCTGATTACACAAGACCAGGTGGAGACAAGATTAGAAATTTATGAAATAAACACTAAAAATGGGGATGAACACACAATCTTTGGAAAAAGAAATGTGGCTATTTCATTGGTTTTCCTTCTTAAGGCAGGATTTTCACTCTAGTGACTATCAATATAACAAATTGAAAATTATTTTGCTTTCTCTTGAAAGATTTTGAACAGGTTCCTTATGCTATGGAATTATTGCACAATATAGAAATACTGTATTTTGCAATATGGGAAGGAAATATTTTGTCTTTCCTATCTAATTTGCTCTAATAGGCTGTACAGCAAGGAGTCCTACGTGAGAGTCAATCACAAATATAAAAGGGTTACTGATGCCCACACTTACTACATTATACAATAATGCCCCCTAAAAATAGTTTGATTTTATCTATCAACTATTTGTAACAAGTCTGTTTCCATTTATGTTTTCCTGCGTGCCAGTACGATTTTGCTAACTACAGACACGGTACTTAAAACTACAGTATACATGAAATGAATGTTGACTGGGAATACAAAGAGAGATCTGTTACCTTACAAATATGAGTGTAAGGGTCCAAGTGCTGGTGAGCACATCAGGATATTAGGTAACACACAAGGTATGTTGTATATGCCACTGAAGACAGTCACAGAACAAGCAAGAGGATGACATTTTGTATTTTCACAGTTATTTATTAATAAACAGCAAGAGCTCCAAAATGATCACAGTGCTTTTAAATTAGGATTATAAGGAATGTAAGCTACCATTTTCTGCATCTGGAATGAATTACAAGGCATAACATACTAACAGTACTGAAATAAAAATACGGGCAATTTTAGAGTAATTTTAAATTAATGATTTTACACTTCGTAGATACTTGCATACCTTCCAACCTTGTGCAATATGACTCGCTGTCACTAAAGCACTTGGTTGTAACTTTTGAGAAATATACATGAAAGCTGAAAGGAAAAAAGCCCTACGACACAAACCTTTGCATATTTCCCAAGGATGTTTATGGTGTGTGGGTGGCACAGATGAGTTATGGCAAGGAGGTTTTATCAGCAGCAATTACACATTTTATCAGCAGTAACTATATAATTCCCCAGTGGCACTGAGCCATTCTAAACTCTAATTGAAGCCCTGATCATTATTAAAGTATTGATAAAGCCCTTACAGGACATTCTTCCAACTAACTCATAAAGCCGTTCCTTAAGAACAGCCAATACTTAAAAAACCTTGAAGATTGTTGTGACTTCACAGGGAATCTTTGTGCCGCTGAAGAAAAAGATGTATTGTGATGTATTGTGCAGTTGCATTGGGACTTCTCTATGAACATGCACGTTTTCACACCCCAAGAGCAATGTATGGCATGACAACACTTTGAAGTGCAGGAACACAGAAGTGTGGCCACAAACCATGCTTTTGACAACCTGAGCTTTTCCAATTTTTATCTTTTTAGATTATTCAGCTGACAAACTTGGTTTCTTTAGTAGGCTAATATTAGAAGTGTGGTTTAATTAAAACATTTTAAAAGAAAATTAATTCAGAGGGCTTTAAGTGTATGCGTAGGGAATATGTCCCTCAACTGAATGAAGACATCAGGGAAAAGTGATTTTTGTGCTTCCTAGTGTACTTTTGCCATACTTTCTAAGTGGAAGACTACAGCGAACTGGCTGCACACATCTGGGTCAAGGTTTATTTGGAATGGTTGTTAGAATGAAAGCGCCTATTTTTGAAAATGACAAGTTATTTTTTTTCTTCCAGAAAATCCTGAGAGTAACATTTTATGTAAAAGCAGAAGTGTTCCCAATAGCATAAAGTACACCTTTAGTAGAGCACAAGACCAGAAAATCTTGAAAAGTGACATACCTGCCCCACGCTGCTTTCATTGTAGAATCCTTATCAACAGGAATGCAAGACGACTCAACAACACCTGACATATTCAATTTGTAGCAGAGACCACAGTCTGGATCTAACATACATCCATTACAATAACTGGAAGACAAAGAAATACATACTTAAGCAACACTTCATTCATTTCTACATGTCAAAAACAACAGCATCTCCTAATCAATCTTGGGATACACATAGTTAAGTTGTCAGTATTGGAGACAAGATAACAGAAACTGCCCAAAAACTAATATGGATTGCCTTCGTCTTCTTCTGTACCATATTTTGGTGGCCCAGTTGCAAATCTCCCTGTGACACCTGATTAGGCTGTAGGAGTGAATGGAATTAATTTTAATTAAAAAAAGACAGATTGGGGTTGAAAAGGAAGACTCATACATCATACCTGATAACCGAAATAGGATTTGGGCACAAACGGATGTGGGAGTCACTCTGAGATCATGATATCATGTGTCTCCATGTGGAAACTGTGTCTGAGTTCCCGTTATATTTGATAGACAGAGTCAATAAGTCAATGAACCCAATTCACATGCAGGCATCTAGTGCCAAAAATATCCTACCTGTGTTGTAGTCACGAGAAAATTCTGGCTGATTAAAGTAGGTATTTGTTTCAGCTGTAGAGTTAAAAGAATACTTTGACGTCTACAAAGTTAAGAAGGGACTGCGGGATATGCGTATACAGGTGCTTGGAAAGGGTATAAGAAGAATAGGCCTTAACTTTTCTTTCTCTATGTCAAAATCACATAGGGGTAATTCAATGTCTTATATGGCGTGATAGTGGGGAACTAATCAAGATAAAGGGCAAATGAAAAGGTGATCATGTTATGCATGCTCATATGATTTTGCTTTGTTAGAAAATGCATAAATAGGCTGTGAAAATGTATGAGCATCAGAGCACAACTAGAGGAGCTACCCTCTGTGTTCCCCAGTGCTGCAATAAAGAAGTGCCTGCTTATCCGCAAACTGCATAGATAAGTTTTTCTCATTGTGATTGAAACCTCGTTAACACCTGCCCTTCACCTGCCACCGCAGAGTGTGCAGTGCTCTCACAGTGAGCATCACACTTGCCAGCTCCATACAGGTATCTTCATTTTCCTTGGTAGTCTCAAAGACCAAGAGATGCTTATGTTTAGGCAAAGTTTCCTTGGTGCAACCATGCAAGTTGCACAAGTGACGAGACAGTAAAACTGTTCTCCAGACTTCGCTGACGACATGCCCACAGACTACTGAGAGCCCAAGCGCCACCAAGTGCCCTACAGATACTTCACTTAGGTGATCGTCTAAAACCTGCCCCCGAGAACAATCTGAGTGAGATTTGGGCATATGAGCTATACAAGTTTTCCAAAACCCTTCATGTAGTGCAGGTTATCTGAAAGCTTCTGGCACAAGCTTTCCAGATCTTGCAAATGCTCAAGACCACTGCTACTGTGGTTACTCAGGTGCTTATCTCTCCCAGAAGCCATCTCGGACTCAGAGATACACTCTCACCAGTAAAGCCTCTGATATATTCTAAGGAATAATTTTAGGAGCTGAAAACAGGAGAATGAGAAACTGTAAAACATGGAGTAAGTCTGGAAAATTTAAATTAATATTAAACTTTGAAATGTACCAGCTGGAAATGTGTAATTAAGGTGACCAAAATAGCTTCAACATATATTTCTTCAACAACAAAACCAAGGGAATAATTCTTTCTGAGTGTGCACCTTTATCAAAACAATGACTTAGTGAATGAAGAAATAACCCACTTAAACTACTATATCATTATAAGAAAAAGTAAAGGTGTATAACAAAGTCCCAAGAAACTAAATCAGTAAAGCAGATTATATGGATTTAAAAAGTCTAAAAGTACATGCTTAAAATCTAGTCATTCCAACTTTTCTTACTATGATGCTTCTAAAAGAGTTATAATAAGATCAATTAGTATGGTAGTTGGCAAAAAAGAGGACTGGGAAAGTGTTAAAAACAATGTATTCATTTGCATTTTCCTGCTTCTCCCAAGTTTCAGAAATTTGTGCTCTTTTTTGTTGTGTTCTTTCAAAATTACTGAATTACTGCAGAATTTCCATTGTCTACTTTTTAGTAAATAAATTTATTTTAAGTAGACCTTCATCTTGCTTAACTAATAGGCCAAATTCAGGTTTGAACAGCTTTTTTTAGTATTAGGAAAGCTGCATTAAATCAGCTTTTAACAGAGATGTAAGTTGCAAAAAACCATTTTTTTCAGTGCAGATGAAACTAAACTTTCAGGTAGATGTCAATCATATATTATCTAACTGTAGTAAACATTTCTTCTCTTGCAAAGATAAACAAGAAAATTGTAACTCCGCAATTATCAATTATGAAAGGAAAGGACAATTCCGATATTACATTAGCAAGACAGTTACATTTTTTAATCATTATTAGGACAGCAATAGGCAGTAAGCAAAACAGCTGACAGGAACAGAAGACTGCAGATGAATAAGAATATTTTTATAACATTTTTTTCCATATGTAATAATAATATTAAAAATAACTAAAAAATTATAGTATCTTCTAGTGAAAAGAAACCTATGACATCAAACAGGATGCTGTATATGATTTTCAAATTGCAGAACACCTTCCGCTCAAATTATGTTGTATATCAAAGTACCTGTTAAGAACATGAATTTCTAAAAAGACCAAGAATGCTAGCACGTCCCACACGGCATCCTGGCATAGAAAGCAGCCGTTTCCAAATACTACGTGCTATCAAGTGCAACAGCAGATTTTTAAGTCAACTATCACAGAATCACAGAATCACAGAACATTAGGGATTGGAAGGGACCTCAAAAGATCATCTAGTCCAATCCCCCTGCCGGAGCAGGAACACCTAGATGAGGTTGCACAGGAAGGCGTCCAGGCGGGTTTTGAATGTCTCCAGAGAAGGAGACTCCACAACCTCTCTGGGCAGCCTGTTCCAGTGCTCTGTCACCCTCACTGAGAAGAAGTTTCTTCTCAAATTGAAGTGGAACCTCCTGTGTTCCAGCTTGTGTCCATTACCCCTTGTCCTGTCATTGTTTGTCACCGAGAAGAGCCTGGCTCCATCCTCGTGACACTCACCCTTTAAATATTTATAAACATGAATGAGGTCTCCCCTCAGTCTCCTCTTCTGCAAACTAAAGAGACCCAGCTCCCTCAGCCGCTCCTCATAAGGGAGATGCTCCACTCCCTTAATCCTCTTTGTAGCCCTACGCTGGACTCTCTCCAGCAGTTCCCTGTCCTTCTTGAACTGAGGGGCAAATTATATTCAATGTGAACACCATATGCAAAATGTAACACAATAAAGTGGTTTTTAGGCAACAATTCTCTTTGGAAAATTTCAAGATTCAAGGTTTCTCTAGATTAATTCTTTTTAGGTTTTACTTCAAGACGAAATGTGGTGAAGTACCCAACACCAGCCAGAACATCAGCATGACACAGGAATGCAGAGGAACGACAATTAGATACTGCAGTGAGTGTCACCTTTATGGTGTTGCCAGCAGAGGACAGGACGGTGCCTGGACGTCCCATCGTTTCCCTCCATGTCCTCCCAAAAATCGATGCACGAGACGAACAACAGAACTGAACTGTGCATCGTCTGTTCTGTCCTATGGGGCCCACTCTACAGACAACTCCACATAACCTCATATGGTGTTGGGTATCAGTAACGAGTCAACTGGGAAGCAGAAGGTAACTTATTTATTCCTCCTACCCCATCCAGGAGCCCAGAAAAAAACTGAAGAAATTTGATTATTGATTGTGGAGTCTGTCTACACGGCTGTTAGCTCAGCTGCTCCTCGGGCTTTATTGGGTATGCACAACTGCGTCCTCCAGTTGGCATTCAGCATAATAAAGGCTGCTGGATTTCATGTCATGCCAAATGTCAGAGGTTATACTTACTCATAACAGTCTAAATAATTTAAAATTATTATTTTCCATAGCTTTTCTGAAGCTTGTATTTTAGGTTGAAAAGTTAAATAACAAATATTTTAAAACTTTTTACCTTTGGGTTATGATTTTCTGCCATTAGTTACATAGTGAGTTCATACAATCAGGCTTTGACTTCAGGTTTTAAAGACAAGACCAATTTATGTCAGAGGAAACCCAGAAATTCAATATACAAGACATAAAGCCCTTTCAAATCTAACTCCCAGCAGACTTAAGGTAGGTGGTTGCTGTTCTGACCGTCTAGTGTTCTTCTGTGCCCCATTTTATCACTGATATAAAATTTTTATGTTGGCTTTAATGAGGCAGATAGTCATTGCTTTTTCCAAGATGAAGACGGATGTTTTTTCCTCCAAATTCAAACATATACACATTACAACTGTTTCATAACACAGTAAAGAAATCTCTATCTGTTAGTAAAGACTAATAATCACTGAAGATGAAAAAAGGAAGATTTTTTTTTTTAAAGAAGCAATTTAAAAGCAACAACAACAAAAAATATGTGCTAAGGCTGTTTACTCTAAATTTCTCTCTCAAAAAATGGAAATAAAATATATACTGCTTTCAGGTTTACACTCTTCACTATAGCCCCATTACGATTTGCTCAACAAAAATATTTAAACAATTTGAAATTGAGCACATATGCTTACATACATGTTCATAATGATGTAAATAAATTAGGACACAAAATATACCAGGAAAATAAATGCCCAATATAATACTTATTGACACATAACTATCTACTGCAGATCTTCTTCCTGTCCTCAAATGTGCCTCCTTATCAGCCCTACCCAGATATATCCAAATATATGTCAGAGTATGAATCTATAAAAATACTGATACTTATTCAAATCTATACCACAGATCAATTATGGCTTTGAAAGCTCTATACCAGAACAACTCAGCATGTCCATGTAGGAATGGAAATTTGCATCCAATTATAAATGGGAAATGTGTTTCCTGTACTTTTATAATGAAATATTTATATCTGTGCTAAGGTTATGAGCTAGTGTCTTGGAAACAGGTTCCTTTAATGAAGAGCCAGGTGAAAATTCAAAGGCAGGATGGGTCTCAATCAGAGACTGACAACTCACCAAGACTAAAATACCTGAGAGATTATTTGATTTTGATGAAACCAGGCAGCA